TTATCATCAAGGTCACCGTAATTGATACAAAAGTACATCTAGAGGTTGTGTGCGATGAAAAAAACCAAAGCTCCCGCGAGCACAAAAATTACACGGCCAATTTCAAAGGCCCCGCCTCTTACTTGGGATGAAGCCATTGGGTTGGTAACATCATTATAAAGCGAATTGAACGCAATTGATACAACTATTGCTCACTAACAAAAGAAAACCTTACTTAAATTGAGTTGAAATGTGCAAGACTGTAAGAGAACGAAGCTGTTTTAATGGACGGGAAAAGATAGTGTCCCTGTCGTCAGTAGATAAGGTGTGAGAAGAACGCCACTGCTGCCATGTCCTTCAGTTTCTCTGGCAAGCTGGCTGCAGAGTATTGGAGACCCCACCCCGGAAAACGGGAGACACCTAATCTACCTAGTCCTTTTGAGCGTATCTTCATGTCTTATCTCCACTTCATGAGTCGACCTGTTACATGATTTTATCAAATCTGAAGCGGCAACTTTAAACGAGTTACGATATGATAGGCGACAGCTACGTATGCACAAAAGCTGTACTAATCAGTAAACGCTACCCATTTAAATCCGATGTAAATATTTTAATGTCACTGTCCCGCATGCACGGCTGTTTACGTCGGGGTTAATTACCTGTTCATTCCAAATTAACTGCACCTGACTAATCCAAAAACTAGTTGTGAAAAAACCTTAATTACTGAATGTCTTCTATCCGCAAATTCAAGAGCTCGGAACTGATCCCACATTGGCATAATATAGGCGAGCTTACAACGTCAGTGAAAAGTTATGCTGAGAATTGAGGTGTTTCAGTTTGGCGTTCGTTGTTCGAGCCTTAAAAATGTTTGTAGTCACCCTGGCTGCTCCTACAGCCTTGGTTACACGACTGTCTAGGTGTAAAGAGCAATCAGCTTCAGTCAATTCTTGGTCATCGAGTGTCGAAGCACGCCTTCGACATCCAGTCTTCTAGTATCACCTCCAGGGTGCAAGGCGCTTACCAAAAGGAATAGCGGAAGTGTCAAGCGTGTTTGATGCATCCACCATTCATTCGAATAGATAGATGATTTCGTTTGAGACGAAACTAAACAGGGATAGTGAAGTAGCGCACTTGATAAACATCGTAGCGATGGGTCATCACGACGAATACAGATTAGTAGAATCTACCGATTTGGACACGCAAATGCAGCTCTTAAAATAAGGCGCTTAGTATCCAGTTCATGGTCTAAGATCACTTGAAGACCCAGTGTGATCAACTGTATGCGATGATGAGGCAAAGTAAATGACTCGTGTCATAAGGTGTGACAAAAATCTCCTGCCGTCGTCTATGCTGGAGATACTAAGGTAAACCGCAGTGAACTGGTCGAAATAGTGGCCCTGTTGTCGGTACTAGTAAATCAGACAGCTAAAAGAAAGACGTGAACACAGGTAAACTATTCGTTCAGTCTGTTCGTCTAACCAACTCAAATCAAATTTCTCAATCGTCTTTTAAATTCACCATTATGCCGCCAATTAGAGGGAAAGNTTGCAATTATCACTCCAACGCAATAATTTCAAGAAAAAGGAAGCAATCTGCAGAAAGTTTATTGATTATCATGCAATACAACCCTGTTTAGACAAATGCTCATCGACGCCACCAATATGTACACCTCTTTTACAGATAGATAGACATCAGCGAGTTAACCAGGAATTAGAAGAGCCAGTTTGTTCCGCTTAGCCTTTTGTTTCCGAATCCGTCGATCTCGTTCACCGAGTAACTCCTCAAACAGAGTGGCCTGGTTGTTATCCTCAATTTTCTTCTTCAAATAGTTCAAGCCGGCCAGATTAGTGCCGATTAAGGACTGTAAAATTAGCAAGTGGAACAAGATACAACTTGAATGAGCATAAGAACAAGGCAATCTATTGAGTATTGATACGAAGATGGCTGATATTGCTTACGAAGAAGATGGATAGATACATCACGGAAGAACAACGATCCTTTTTACTACTCGTGTGTTCGGGATTTCTAGAGACGCCATAAGAAAATCCTGATTGAGATTTCCAAAACTCCAAAACATGTAACCTGTACAGTAGTTCGTGTTCTTCGGTCAACTTGGTTTATCGGGTACTCCAATAAATAGGACCCTCGTAGTTCGTTCATTTAGTGCTGGTGTTACCAAATGAGCTTATTATAATTTATAAACTCGTCTCGCTATGGACACCGATTCCAGAGCTTAGAGACTGCGCTGGTAGTTTGCCAGATCTTGTTCTCACAGCAAGAAATGCTCTCACGGGACGCGTCTCTTAAAAAATCTCGCACAGAAGTTTTATTTTTTTGTCTACTTTTGTTGAGTGTATTTTAAAAAAACCCAGCAAAAACCAACATCCTGAAAATGTAGCCGGGTCGATAATTTACGGAAAACTGGCTCACTTGGGAGAGCTGGAAAACCCAAATTTTAGACCTTAAAAAAGTGCACGAATTGGCTTCAGGACATCCTGATAGTGATGGCCACCAACACAATTGAGCAATAGTATATATAGTAACATGGACGTGACAAGCACGCATTTACTTACTGATTAGATACATGTCCCCAATAGACTGCGTTTTTCACATTTCCTTGCGCCAGCTGAAGGCACCAGTTGTCTATTTTCAACGAATTCCACCTGCGTAATCTTTTTTATTGTACCCCACTGTGTGATCACAAACAAGTGGCGTGGAACCCACAGTCAAGAAGAGCTGCTGTTCAGTGATGGAAACCGGCAACCTAAGCCCCAGGACTTGGCCCGGCTGGGTCAGACGTGGTATTGAACCGGACGACAGGAAAGCTGGTGGGGGTCGGACAAGGTCTACAGCACACCAGTGACAGCAACTAAACTGCTGAGCCATCACCTGGCAGTAGTCCCCCAGGAGAAAATCATGGTTTGATGTTTTTGTTAATGCGATTGTTATACTATGATTTGTGCGGACTCAGACAAGAGTAAAAGATGAAAAACTCTGAAGGGTAAGACAATGGAAGACCACTGTCAGCCTATCGAATATTGCATCAGTTTATATGTACTTTGAACGAAATGGAATAAAAACGTTTAATAGATTGTTCTTGCACGAGAAAGAAATAACCCGTAATCTAGATTACACGAAGGTTGCTTCGTCACCGGAATTAAACCTTCTGATTGCGCGATGAGCAACACGGTCGACGATCCCGCTTAGATAGAAGGAAGCTGTTGGTGGACCTGGGTGACTGTGAACTAGCACGTGCTATACCGATAATTATTTCCTTAATCGTTCTTTTTATTTTCTACAGATCGATGGAATAAGTATTTCGGACTCTACCGAGAATCGAGCGAAAAGAATCAAACAAGATGGCTAAATGTTTACGATAATTCAAACGAAATGGTATGTTATTGATAACATAACCCGCAACAAAAAATCCGGGACCTTCCTAGGTTTCACAGTATCTCCAAATATATATCTCTAAATAATAGCCACATTCCAGTAATGTAAAAAACATAATTACGAATTCTCAACTTCTCAGCTTTCGGTAAAAAGAAAATACGTTCGGAAGTAGGAAACAATACCATGACAAGTGTAGTGTCAAGGCAGAGTTCCATGCAAATAAAACGAGTGAGTGTGGCCTAGAGCGACACTTTCTTCCGACATCCTCGAAAAGGCCCGGATCAGAGATATGGATTCGCTGAGGATATGGGTGCAAATTTTCGACTCACGGTCAGATCAACTGCACCGTTCGGTACGGCATCTAGCATGCCAATGTGTATGTTCTTACGGGCGGTGGTGACCCGGTGGTAACGTCACCAAATTATCACCCGAGAGAATGTTTTCGAATCCCACCACCACTGTCTGACTTTCCCCATTGTGTTTAACAGCAGCCCTTTGATTGGCCGCTTCCCCCTTCCTGAAGATTGTATCTTTGTATATTCAATATAAGAAAGTGAAAAAATGAAAATAAAATCTGGGGCTCTGTTGATAATATAGAACAATAACCCTAGGGGATAGTACCGCAGTTCACAACTCTCGTTCGACAAGGAGCTGGTTATTTTTATGAAGAGCATTTGGGACATTTCAACCCCAAGGCTGTACGATAACTGGAAAACATTAGAATTGGAGGATGAACCAGGGGTCGCTCTAAAACTGTCTACCAACAAGGACGTGTTTCGGGGTTATGTCCAAAAGCTGCACTGATGTTCTGAAACGGAACGAGTGCTCTGCACAATAATTAGTCGCTTTATTCGCATTAAACTTCATAAGATACGACACTTTTACGGCGGAAAGGTTTGCATCCCTGATCGTATCCCCTTTTAACAGAAGCTAAATCAGACGAATATCATATACGAGTATGTTACTACACTACTTTATGGATAGTGTTACTTTCAGAAGTGTAGATACAGCAAATCCTCCGAGAGGGGGTAAACGTTGGTCGCGGGATATGCGAAAAAACTACCGTTGCTACACTGACCTTCACCTGGCCCATCGTATTCAATCGCGCTTCACGTGACTGATGAAGCACCTCACGCATTTCCGAGCAGGTCACAATCAAACCAAAATGCAAGGTCACCAAATGTCGTATAGCCCGGCCGACCAATTCCACTTCCCATCCTTTGGACAACCAGTCAGCAAGTCGCGGCAACAAACGCTTGGCATGCTCCGTGGTAATTGCACCCAGAGCGTGTTCCAGTCCAGCCCCACCGCCACCTAGTCTGGTGGATGGAGCACGAAGTGCGGCTAGGCTGGATAAGAGAAAGCGTTCCGGCGAGTCTGTGCCCCGAGCCAACATGAGAGGATGTGGTGGTGCGACTTGCTTGCCCCGAGCCGCTTGTTGTTGTTTAATTATTTCTTGATCATAGATATCCATAGCTTCCATCAGCATATCAGCCTTGGAATGTGAATGAAAACAGGGAAACGGAAATATATGAAAATCGACAGAAGAGGACAAAATTGAGCGAATGTTCTGGTAATAAGAGTTGTCAGGAAAAAGGGTAACTCTTAATGGTGTAATATCACACGTGAACCCAAAATTATTGAGGTCTAACTGAGGTGTGNGTGACATGTAAAAAAAGGAACACGAAGTTCGGAATGCAGGTATATTTGCCTCATCCCCCAAAAGAAACCATTCTACAGTATGGATAAAAATCCTACATTTTTGTAGTGTTACACAAAAGCCTTGACCTACTGGTTTTGCACAGTGGTCCCGCCTTCGCGTGACCCCCAACGCATCTGGCCACTTGGAAGCGATTGCCATGAGCGAACAATAGAAGCCGGTAAAAGCAGTCGTGAAAGGAGCCTCGCCGAGCTGCGCGGTAGTTCGA